TTTTTAAGAACAGTTATACTTTTAGGCTTTTCTTCAACTTTAAGTCTATTATTTAAAAAGGCAATCCATATTGTTCTGTAACACAGATTCGCCAATCCCCTCTTCCCAGTTGTATGTTGTGTGCATATTTTTAACACCCAAATGATTAGACATATAAATTTACATTTATCTTCTTGATACTTATTTTCCATGCAGTTGCCCAATTAACCACTGTGTTCAGGACATATTGTAAGCTGAAGACATATTCCATATGTTTAATAATACGTAGCTTTATGTCAAATGTTCCTCACCACAGTTGTGCCTTAACATAATTTAAGCATACACATAAATTGGGTCAAAACATTGTTACCTTTGTAAACAAAAAGCATGTCATGTTTGCTTTATAACAGACCATGTCAGTAATTACAGAATCTCTATAAATTTGAAATAGCATTTTCCAAATCAGTGTGCTAAGCATTCGAGGCTTCAATTTTGTTTTAGCTGGAATGTAGATTTAGGAAAGAAAGCATACAGTAGTAATGTGTATACCATGTATACAGTGTAAACTAAATAATACAGAAAAAAATGGTCTGTACATTTAAAACAGGACTTTTAAATAATTACATGGGTAAATAACTTAAGGCCTTACTTTTATAAGCCATCTGATTTTGCAACTTTATTTACATTTTAATTATTTGTTTCTAGACCATATCAACCATGGTGCCTTTTTTATTCTATCAAAACCATTTTGATATTGTAAATCAGTGCCACCATGTTCTCTTGCATACAGTTATCCAATATGGCAATAAGCTTGCCCTCTCCAAGTCCCCATTAACTAACCCTATGTTTTAACTTTTTAGGGGGCCTATCTAATCAGACTTTTTACATTACAGCTCTAAAGGAAGCTAAATAAAACTATAGTTACACTTATTGAGACCCACACGAATAATGACTATATCAAATCTAGGTTTGCTGGGCCTTTAACCAAGCAATGCAACCCAAGAGGTTTTACATCAGCTTAAGTTTATTGCATCCAATAACTAACTTGTTCAAGAAAGCTATCATGCTTTCCTAATCTGACTGTATAATGGAATGTGACTAGCTTAGTTGATCATTTAAGCTGCACAGTTGGGCTTCATAATCAACGAGAAGAATGTTAGCGGAGTCATTATGAAAGGCCATTCAAATCTGCTGATCGAACCCCAAGCATTTATTGTACTCTAAAAAAAGATAAGTTCTCCTAATTACAAATCTTGAATTACATACTGCACATAAAGCATAATTGAGAGACATTGTGCAAGATGCTTTGACTAGATGGTCCGTGAATGTTCTATCAGGCAGACTGCTCTGTACAAAGCTTCTTCTACAAAGCATCCACTCTGCTAACTTTCATTATTAATGTCATACATGGCCATCCAAGAAACCATTCTCTTCTAGTGCCTAGATGGTAAATCCCAAAGGCGCTGACATTTTGTGAGTTATTAGGAGAAATGCGAACTCACTGACCCTGCTAATTCTTCTGATTCCTGGTCCTGTTTATCTTGAATTATGGACAAATATATTTACTTTAATTTTTTTCACAGCCTTTGGATGGGCGTATGTATCGATTTTTCTATTGACAATAAAAGGGTTAACAGTGACACACGTGAGATATTGTTCTATATACACAGAAGAACTTGAAAATGACAAGAACAATATATGTTATTTTCCTCTAAAATGTAGAAATATCCATGGTAATAGTGTCAGTAAGTAGATGTAATGATTACTAAAAAAGGAAAGAAGCTAGGCAATTAGAGTAGTATATCAGCAACTTTACATAATGAGGCTCATCCATGAATGAAAAAGGTAAAAAGACAGAACCACAGATACACATGCTTTTGAGTTCTAACTGCATTTAGAAAACATCAGTTTGAATCTGACTTAGTGCAAAATGAAACACCTGCCCCTGGCAATCATCCAATCATGTAAATCTGAATTGATCCATCACATTGTAAATGAACAGACAGCAGTTAGAGTGCACATGTGATGTGGACAAATGAGTGTACATTTTGATATGGTCAGCCAACCAAGAATCAAAAAAATATAGAACTCAAAGAACATTTGCATTGATAACAACATAAAATGCTCAACAAAAGTTAGGTGACAGATGTCATTATTAGCTTGAGAGCTAAGCGGTGCCTTCCAAGCAGCTGATCGGTGGGAGTAGCAGCAGCGCAATCCCTGACAGTCTTCTGTAGAGGGATGTACATAGCTTTTCCACTTTCTAGGGTAGAGTGGAAAACCTTTTTAACCACTTCAGCTCTCAAAACTGCACATGCCCTATGGACCAGAGCAATTTTTTGTATTTCTGCTATGGGCTTGTTAATTCGGAAGTAACTTTGACATTACTTAAGGTAACTTAGTAGTACATATATATTTTTTAGAACATACAAGGCTTTCTTTTGGTGATTGGTATATCTTGGAGGTGTTGCTATAGAAAAAAGTGTAAATATTATTCTATATTATAAAAATTATTATTCTATATTTTTGTTTAAAATAACACTAAGTTCTGATTGGGGTAAAAATATTACAAACGTATTTACAAAAAAATTATTTTTTTTTTTCTATTTTGTGTTTTTCTTTGACACTATAAAAAATAAATACAATGAACAAAAATAAAACAAGTTTTAAAAAAGTATTGGTTAGAAAAAATACAAATAAACAAAACAAAACAAAAAAATGAATAACAAGGAAAATATTAGGAGAGAAGCAGAATAGGGAGTTAATTAGGGCTCATTTGGGTACTAAGGGTTAAAAAGGGGTTAAATAGGATTAAGATTTCTTTCTTCTTTAATTGTTAGGTTGTTTCAAAGTGGTTTTTATTACATTCTATGAAGTAAGAAAAAAAACTTCTGCATACAGCTTCCCCCACAGCCCCCCCCCCCCCCTTAATTACATAGCAGCAGGAGCCATTGGCTGCTGCTGTCAATCAGAGGCAGTGATGAAGGAGCAGGGGGTGGGGCCGAGCCCCGCTTTGTGTATCCTAGGGACACATAGAGCAGGGCTCAGGAGCAAACATGCACAAGTGGCCCCAAGCAGTATGTAGCTTCCCCCGCAGCCCCCCCTAAATACATACCTAACCCCAATATCAAGCCAGCGATGTGCTTGAGAGTTTAGGCTCTCTCACACTCCTCATTAACTCAGAAACGGCATCAGAAGTCATTGTCTCCCGCTGCTGTCAATCAGAGGCAGTGATGAGAAAGAAGTGGGCAGGGCTGAGCCCCGCTCTGTGTGTCTTATGGACACACAGAGTAGAGTTCGGAAGTGAGCATGCACAAGTGCTCCCTAAGCAAGCGGCTTGCTCTGGGGGTACTCCGTAGGGAGAGAAGCCTAGAGCACTGGTAAGGGACCCAAGAAGAGAAGGATCAGGGTAGATCTGTGCAAAACCATTGCATGGAGCAGGTAACCATTACATATTTGTTATTTTAAACAAAAAAACCTGAATCTTTACTATTACTTTAACCACTTGCCCTCTTGAGGATTTACCCCCCTTCCTGACCAGGCCATTTTTTGCGCTACAGAGTTATGTTACTTTAAGTGACAATTGCGCGGTCATGCAACGCTCCACCCAAATGAAATTTACGTCCTTTTTTCCACAAATAGAGCTTTCTTTTGGTGGTATTTGATCACCTTTTTTATTTTTTGCACTTGGCCAACTCATACACTCTCACGGCTTCAACTACCACCTATATGCCGACGACACACAAATCTATCTCTCAACCCCCCCACCTCACCCCCTCAGTCTCTGCCTGAATCACACACCTACTGAGCGACATATCAGACTGGATGTCGCTCCACTTCCTTAAACTGAACCTCTCCAAAACCGAGTTTCTTGTCTTCCCCCAGCCCGGACCCCACCCCCCATTGACTTCTCCATCGTGTCCAACAACGCCACCATCAAACCCGCCCCGCAGGCCAGAGTACTTGGTGTCATTCTGGACTCCAACCTATCCTTCCAGCCCCAAGTCCACTCTTTAACAAACTCATGCAGACTCCACCTCCGCAACATCGCCAAAATACGCACGTTCCTAACCCCAGAAGCCACTAAACAGCTCATCCACTCCCTCATCATATCACAACTCGATTACTGCAACTCCCTCCCCGCCTCAGTCGTTCCTGAATACGGCTTCCAGACTCAATCACCTTTCCAACCGCTCCGTTTCCGCCACCCCCCTCTGCCAATCCCTCCACTGGCTTTCGATTGCGCAATGGATCAAATTCAAAATCCTAACACTGGCGTACAAAGCTGTCCACCATACTGCCCCGAACTACATCACCGACCTAATATCCAAGTGCCACCCAGCACGCACACTCCACTCCTCACAAGACCTCCTTCTCTCTAGTTCCCTGGTCTCCTCCACCCATGCCCGCCTCCAGGACTTCTCCAGGGTGTCACCCATCCTTTGGAACTCCCTGTCCCAACCCATCAGCTTATCACCTACTCTCCTCTCCTTTAGGCACACCCTGAAAACCCACCTCGTCAGGAAAGCCTACCCCACCCTCTGCTAACTTGCCGACCTCCTCCACTCTTCCTACCACTCCATCCCCCACAGCTTTCTCCTCCTGTGCCACCATCACCTCCCTCCTAGATTGTAAGCTCGAAAGAGCAGGGCCCTCGATCCCCTCATGTTTTGCATTGTATTGTTATTGTTCTGTCACATGTTCTGTCCCCCTTTGTAATGTACAGCGCTGAGCGAACTATTGGCGCTTTATAAGTACTGTATAATAATAATAAAGGAAAAACAAGGCAGACAATTTTTAGAAAAAAATATTTTTTTTACTTTTTGCTATTAAAAATGTCTAGTAAAAAAATTTAAAAAATCAAATTTCATCATAAATGTATGCCAAAATGTAATCTGCTACATGTCTTTGCTAAAACAAATCCTAATACGTGTAAATTTATTGGTTTACATGAAAGTTATAGCATTTCCAAATGGCAGTATAGATAATGGAATTTTTTTTTTTACCAGTAACGGCGGTGATCAGTGACTTATAGCGAGACTGCGGCAGGCATTCTGACACTGGGGGGGAACTGACTTGGTGTCACTGACATCCCCAGTGACACCAATACAGTGATCAGTGCTAATAAAAAGTACTGACACTGTACTAATGGCACTGGGCAAGGAGGGGTTAACATGTGGGGCGATCAAAGGGTTAATTGTGTGCTGTGTGCTGTTTCACAGTATGCTGTGTGTGCTTTCAACTGTAAGCACACTGCTTTGTATGGCTCTGCTATTCAGAGCCATACAAAGAAGTGTGCTGGAGCTGACAAGGGAGAGAACTGTATTGAATAATCAGCGATCACCAGGTTCCAACGTGTAATCACCATCCGGGACCCGGTGATTGACAGCCAAGACCACGAACAGCAGTGCAGGTAATGCAAAATCACATATATATACATGATTTTGCGCAGCCCTGCAGCAGAATTATTGCTATAGGGCAGCGGGAAAGCAGTTGACTGACATTATATACAGATCAAAGCTCATGCCTTTGGTCTGCAGATGAATGAAACAGAGTAAATATAAAAAGGCCATTTGTATCTCTCTTTCTCGGCTCTAAACAGTGTTTTTAAAGTGGTTGTAAAGGCTGAAGGCTTTTTACCTTAATGCAGAGAAAGCCTTCGGATTGCAGCTCCCCTCCAGCTCCCCTGTATACTTTCTTGAGCTTGATCTCGATCCTCCTCATAGGCTCAGAGACAGCAACAGGTGCTATTGGCTTCAGCTGTTGTCAGTCACAGCTAACGAAGAGGGAGTAAGGGGCGGAGCCAAGCCATGCTTTGTGTCTTTCAGGAGTGAGCCTGCATGAGTGGCCCCAAAGCAAGCTTCTTGCTATGGTGGGCACTCATGGGGAGGAGGAGCCAGGAGCGCCGGTAGTGGACCCAAGTAGAGGAGGATTGAGGCTGGTTTGTGAAAAACCTTTGTACAGTGCAGGTAAGCATGACATGTTTATGTAAAAAGAAAAAAATATGTATATGTTTACAATCACTTAAACAAAGGGGGGTTGATTTACTAAAGGCAACTAGGCTGTGCACTGCAAGTATATTTACCTTTAGTAAATCAACCCCTATGTCAGGTCAGTTCTGCACAACAGCAGCAGCTATGTTGGCAATTGGTGGGGAAGGATATATGTGAGCAACAGTATAGCAGAACACACCTTGTATACTTTATTAAAGTTACAGTATTTTTGGCATGTGTAGCAAGCCCAATGTCTACAACTAGTTAATATCTGCAATACAGGCAGAGCACAGTGTACATAATAGCAAACTACACTTCACTGGCTTAGCTAAGAAGTCAACATTCACAATAAGGTGGCCTATGGAAATTAATTGGAAGTGATCATTTACTGATCTGACTGCAGTAATCTTAAATATAATTTTACATCTCCAACAGAGGAGCTAGACTGCCTGGTCATCAATTAGGCAGACATCCACAATTTAACCATTTAAAGCTGTCTGTTCTTTCAGATTTACACGAAGCACGAAGCATTAGGCCCCGACTGCTACAACCCTGGCAAACTGACCACACCAAAATCTCAAACGACGTAGTCGTGCGCTGGAGCGACTATGGCGTAAAACCAAATCCCAACTAGCGTTCACCCGGTATAAATCTGCCTTCCTAACATGCACTTCCTCCCTTCACGCTGCCAAACAAGCCTACTTTGTTACCCTCATTAATACCTTCTCCCCCAGTCCTCGTCGTCTCTTCTCTACTTTTAACGCTCTACTTTCTCCGCCCCCACCTCCAACCAGTACCTCGCTAACCGCCCACGAGATTGCTAACCACTTCAAAAACAAGATTGACATCATTTGTAGGCACATCGCTACTGCTCATACTTCCTCCCCACCTAGCATTCTTCACACCAAAACCCCCTCAACACTTCGCTCCTTCGACCTCGCTACTACTGAAGAGGTCACTAAGGTCTTCTCAGAAGCCCGCCTCACCACCTGCCCCCTGGACCCTGTCCCCTTATAACTCCTACGGTCACCCTCTTCTTCCATCCTACGCTCTCTCACTCACATCTTCAATCTTTCCCTTTCCACTACCTGGAACACATACTACCTGGAGGTTGCTGACCTGATGACCATCCATGCTGCAGTTTCTCGTATCCAGTGACCAGGAGTAGGTCTTATTTACTCCAACACGCAATTCTTTGAGCTATCCGGTTTACCACAGATGTCACGGATTTCTTAGCATTTTACAACACCTACGGATTTATTGACTTTGGCACCATCGTCACTTTATACACTTGGCTCTGTCTTCAAGATATCCAGCACATTTTCGCAATACTGGTCTTTGCAACAAGCCTTCTATTGTATATCTGCATATGTTTATCATGGATACTGTATTTTAGAATTTATCATCTAGTTTTTAGCGCTGCATATTCATGTTTTAGCATTTTACAAGGAGGTTTTTGAGGTTTTGCCTTTTTATGCCAGTGGCTTTTTATCATTATCACTTTTATTCAGCGCTCGTTTATTCCATTCTATTTAACACTATCATCAGTCCCACCCCTCAAGCCAGGATAGTAGGTGTCATCCTAGACTCCAATCTGTCCTTTCAGCCCCAGGTCCAATCGCTGACAAACTCATGTAGACTTCACCTCCGCAACATCTTCAAGATACGACTGTTGCTAACCTCGGAAACCACTAAGCAACTCATTCACTCCCTTATTATATCACGCCTCGACTACTGTAACTTCCTCCTCACTGGCCTACCTCATCGCAGGCTATCCCCACTTCAGTCTATCATGAATGCTGCTGCCAGATTCATCCACCTTACTAACCATTCTGTATCTGCCACCCCTCTCTGCCAATCCCTCCACTGGCTTCCAATTGCCCAACGGATAAAATTCAAAATGCTAACACTGACGTATAAAGCCGTTCATAACACTGCCCCAAACTACATCTCCAATCTTGTCTCCAAATATCACCCAAACCGTACTCTCTGCTCCTCACAAGACCTCCTACTCTCTAGCTCCCTTGTCTCCTCCTCCCATGCTTGTTTCCAGGACTTCTCCAGGGTGCCTCCCATCCTTTGGAACTCCCTACCCCAATCCATCAGACTATCGCCTACTCTGCTAACTTTTAGGCACGCTCTGAAAACATATCTCTTTCAGGGAAGCCTACCCCGCCCTCAGCTAATACTGGAATCCTCTACTCTACCAACCACTCCATCCCCCACAGTTACTACCTCTTGTAGCTCTATCCCCTTCCTCCTAGATTGTAAGCTCCAAGGAGCAGGGCCCTCAAATCCCTCTTGTATTGAATTTGTATTGTTACTGTACTGTCTCGTGTACTGTCTCCCACCATAATGTAAAGCGCTGAGCAAACTTTCGGTGCTATATAAATCCTGTATAATAATAATAATAATACTAATTTAGGCATACACAGAATGTTACGTTTGCTTGAGCATTCATACGTATGTATTATTGCGAGTGGACTGTAGGGATACACATAGAGACCTCTGTATTTCCGCTATCTCTGAAAAATAACACTGATGAAGCAAAGTTTTCTAACTTGGTATAGTTATTTCTCTTCTCTGCAGATCTCCATATGCCCACAAACATGAGATTGTTACCAGATCCAGCCAACTACTCAACCATTAAGTAAAAGGTATAAGGAAGAGCAGAAATGAGGTACACTATATTGCCAAAAGTACTGGGACACCCCTCCAAATCATTGTATTCCAGTGTTCTGTTACAATCACCTCCATGGTCACAGGTGTATAAAATCAAGCACCTAGGCATGCAGACTGCTTCTACAAACATTTGTGAAAGAATATGTTGCTCTCAGGACGTCAGTGAAATCAACCGTGTTACCGTGATAGGTTGCTACCTGTGCAATAAATCCATCCGTGAAATTTCCTTGCTACTAAATATTCCACGCTCAACTGTCAGTGGTATTATAAAAAAGTGGAAGCCACTGGGAACAACAGCAACATAGCTATGAAGTGGTAGGCCACATAAAATAACAGAGCGGGGTCAGCGCATTCTGAAGCGCACAGTGCGCAGAATTCCCCAATTGTCTGCAGATGCAATAGATAAAGATCTTCACACTTCATGTGGCCTTCAGATTAGCACAACAACAGTGTGTAAAGAGCTTCATGGGATGGGTTTCCATGGCCAAGCGGCTGCATCCAAGCCTTATATCACTAAGTGCAATGTAAAGCGTTGTATGCAGTGGTGTAAAGCACACCGCCACTGGACTCCAGAGCGGTGTAGGCATGTTCTCTGGAGTGGCGAATTGTGCTTATCTGTCTGGCAATCCGATGGATGTGTTTGGGTTTGGCAGTTGCCAGGAGAACAGTACTTGTCTGACTGCATTGTGTCAAATGAAAAGTTTGGTGGAGGGGAGATTATGGGGTGGGGTTGTTTTTCAGGGGCTGGCCTTAGCCTCTTAGTTTCAGTGAAGGGAACTGTTAAGGTGTCAGCATACAATTTCATGCTCCCAACTTTGTGGGAACCGTTTGGGGATGGCCCCTTCCTGTTCCAACAAGACTGCGCACCAGCGCACAAAGCAAGGTCCATAAAGAAATGTATGAGTGATTTTGGGGTGGAGGAACTTGACTGGCCTGACTGACCTCAACCCAATAGAACACCTTTGGGATGAATTAGAGTGGAGACTGCAAGCCAGGCCTATTTGTCTGACATCAGTGCCTGACCTCACAAATGTGCTTCTGGAAAAATGGTCAAACATTCCCATAGACACACTCCTAAACCTTGTGCAATCCTCCCCAGAAGAGTTGAAGCTGTTATAGCTGCAAAGGGTGGGCCAACTCAATATTGATCTCTACGGACTAAGACTGGGATGCCATTAAATGTCATGTGCGTGTAACGGCAGGCGTCCCAATACTTTTGGCAATATAGTGTACATATATATCCTGTAGAATGCCTAATTTCACACATTGCCTGTAATATATATATATATATATATATATATATATATATATATATATATATAGGCTATATCTGAAATATCTAAAAAATAAGGAAGCAGACAGAATGAAAAATTCAAACATTTTCACATATACCCAGCAATAAGCAGCATGGAAACACTCTAAATGCATACACAAATACTTCTGCATTAATTTGCCTCTGTATACTCAATTCGTATCTCCTTGTTCAAATTCAAACAAGTAAACAGGCAGAGGTCATCACATTGCATTAGCAAAAAAAATGTTAATGCATCTTTCTGCTAACCCTATTCCTATGCATGAATATTGAACACTATTAGAAAATTCTGTAAATGTGAAAGCATGTCAGCAATGTTAAATGGTTAAGTACATTCAACTTATTTTGTTGCCATTGAACCTTTTAAGTGCTACTGGTACTTAGCG